CGCGGGATCGGGGCCGCTGCTGCCAATAGCAGCCCACGTGTGTAGCGTCGCCGCAGCCTCCACGTGCCCCGGCCTCGGGGTTTATTTCCGTCCCCAGGGGCCTTCCCCAGACCCCTCTACCCAGGGCCGTAGCAGGGCTGCTCTTCGCTAGCTCTTCCCTTAGAGCCCACAGCTCTTGGCTGCCCTGCAGTGGGGCCCGGGACTCCAGCTAGGCAGGGCTGCCAACTTGCCATTCCCAACAGCGCTTCCACCTGGCGGCAGGAGCCTGCCCCGCCACGGAAGTGCCCCGCGGGGAGTAAGCACGTGTCTCACCACCACTCCTCTGCAGGCAACAGGGAGTCACTGGATTAGCAATTGGTAACTCCCACGGTCAGGGCCTTCCTCGACTGACAAAGGGGACTGGGTGGAGCCCCTGAGCACTTGCAGCACATGGAGCTCTCCACCTTTCAAACTCTCCTGTGCATACTCCAGGAGGTGAAGGCGGCTTTGTCGCAGACCGCTCTCCATTTCCTGCAGCGAGCCTGGCAAGAGGGGATGCTCAGCTCTCCCCCTCACTGCAAGCCCTCCTGCCCTTTTTCTTAGGCCCCTGTTCTGCTGGCTTCCCTCCTTCCCCCGGCTTTCCCATCCCTGGACCACAAGCCTGCTGCAGAATTTGCAGCCGGTCTATTTTCAAACTGCCCCTAAGGATCATCTGTGCACGCTTGTGCTCCATAGGTTGCATTTCTTCACCCTCTTGACCCACCCTGATACCAAATGGAAGGACTGTCTAAGACCCATCCAGGGTGGGGAACCCCAATGGGCCAGTGTGTATTCCACCTTAATCCCATGGCCCATCTGAGACATCAGTTGGCAGCTCCTTTACGGATCTGTGAGCGCAGGCATGTACCTGGCGTGGTTCATTTCCATCCCAGACACCTGCCCCTTTTGCAAGATGAGGGAAAACCTGGCATGTGCATACCTAGAATGTGCCAGATTGCAGCGCCTTTTCCGGCTCCTCTAAAACCTCTTGCTGAGGTTCTAGCTGCACTTTTCCCCGCACCTTTTCATATATACACAGTCCATCTGTGGTCCCACAAAGTCACAAGACCTCCTCTTGGCCCTGGCAAAAGCCGCAATGTACAACACCAGGAGGAGGATGCTGGATGAGGGGGTTCTCTGCGACAGTGGGGCCTACTTCCGCTCCTCCCTAGTTTCATACATCCGGGCAGAGTTCCTCTGGGTCATGACCACTGGCTCCATGGACAGCTTTGAGGAGCAGCAGGCACTGTCTGAGCTTCTCTGCTTGGTATCCCCATCCAGTTCCCTTGTTTTAAACCTTTGACCACACCTCTAACCCTGTTTTCTTATAGTTTGTCCCACAAAATCAGTTGAGCCCAGAGTCAAGTTGTCCCTCCTGCAAGGCTAGGGGAGGGACTTTTAGAAGTGGGCCACTCCCCCTGGGTTCAAATAGTGCTGGAGCCTAGGCTGTGTCTTCACTAGCAGAGGCTGCAGCTGCTCTGCGGTAACGCTTCAGGGTAAGCCTGGGGGTTCAAATTGTATTTATCACAGGACCCCAGGAGGAGGAACTGAAGCCTTGCTGGGTGTGGGGAGGGGAGAGAGCTTCAAAGTAGACAGTTGCCTAGAGCCCAACAATTCAGAAAGACCCAAAGATCCTGACTTCCACTGCTGGAGTGGCAACGGCCAGTGTCCCAGGTCCTTTAAATCACCACCAGAGCACCATGCCGTGCTCTCTGAGCAGAGTGGTGGAGGCCAGGATGGGGGCACTATAGGTGGTATAAGGGCTACTTGCCATGGGGCTACCCTCACCTTTTCCCTTTGAGGCCCCACCCCTTCTCAGAGCATGAAACCGCACCCCTCCCCCTTGCCCAGGGGTCCAGCCTGTCTATTGGCCCCCATGGAGGTGTGTAACCTGAGTGACGAAGTCCTCAGGCTTCAGCTTCTGCCCCAGGTGGTGGGATGTTGACTACAGCCCTAGAGCTCAGCAAATTTAACACCAGCCTTGGGGACCCCATTAAAATAGGGAGGACTCACTTTCATGTCCTGACCCAGAACTGCTGGTAGACAGTAGAGATATTAAAAAGTTTATTTTTGTAAACATGTAACCACTTAAATTTTAACAGTTGCACGTTTACATGTAGAGACAGCAGCTTAAAAGCCAGCTTCCCCCAGCAGCAGTGTAGGGAGGGCAGTTGGCTTGGCAGGAGCTGGTACTTGTGGGGAGCCAGTGTGAAAATCAGTTCCTGCCCCCCCACTCCTCCCAATGCTCTTAGCTGGCTCTCAGCAAGAAATAACTCCCTTCCCCCCCGCCCCACACACAGCAGCGAGGGATAGGTGGCAAGAGGCTGGAGCCAGTACATGTGGGGAGCTGGCTTTCAAGCAAAGGGAGGGCTCCTGCTGTCCACATACAGGAGACTCTTGCAATTCATGGAATCACTATTTGTAATGCTACATACTCGCAGGTATGTCCTGGCTTGGGTGGCGAGGGCCCTGAGCTGTGGGAAAGTGTGACTCCCAGCTCCCGTGGTGAGTTCCCTGTGGCTGCTGGGAACTGCAGTGAGTTCAGGAACCATTGGAAGCTCCTTGGTGGCACCAGGAGAAGAGGGGAACTCACCATGGGTCCTGGCAGCTGCAGTGGGCTCCCTGTAGCTCTCAGCTCCCTCAGTGAGGGCCTCAAGGTTCCTGGGTCCCATGGTGAGTTCAGGAGCCATGAGGAGCCTGCAGTGGTACTGTGAATGGCCAGGGTCTCCTGTAGTTAACCCATCTCCTCAAAAGGCAATGGCTATGTTGAGGGAGGAATTTTTGTTGATATAACGTTGTGACCTGGGTTAGATTGGCTTAAATACCTATTTGGTAGTCAGGAGGAATTTCCACACTTGACATAATTGAGTCAACTTTTTAGTGTGGAGCTGGGCTAACTAGCTTCAGTTTAAAACCCCAGCCCAGTTTGAGTTAAAAATGTGCTTGTGGTTAGGAGTTAGCTCATGGTTTTCTCAAGAACCTAATAGTTCAATAAAAACAACTAGCTGGACTGCAAAGCTCTTCAGGTCAGGGTCTGTGTTTTGTTCAGTGTTGGTGCAGTGCCTAGCATTGTAGGGTGCCCATCCTGCAGTGGCGGAGAAGGCCGATTCTACTGCACCATGTGAAAGATTTGTGGTAAAATAGGACCTCAAGGAGTCTTCTTAATTAAAATTTTTGCAGTCAACAGAAGTGGGGATGTCCAGTAGTTGTGGATAACTAAGTTCCATTAGAATTACGTTGCTATGTTAAGCCCAACTGTTGTGTGCTAATTTAATATTGTTATTAACAGGTTTCACCCCTCTTCTTGATTTCAATTTTTAGCCCTGGCTAGATCGAAGTGTGACAGCAAAAAATTAAGCTTCCATATTAGAGAAAACTATTTCCTCAATTAGATTAACTATACTGCATATTTGCCCTCTATGGCTGTGTCTACACTAGGCCACTTATTCTGGAAAAGCAGCCGCTTGTCCGGAATAAGCTGCGAGCTGTCTACACTGGCCGCTTGCTTTTCCGGAAAAGCAATGACGATCTACTGTACGAAATCAGCCGCTTTTCCGGAAAGGCTATGCTGCTCCCGCTTGGGCAAAAGTCCTTTTTCCAGAAAAGGGCCAGTGTAGACAGCTTTTCCGGAAAAGCAGAAGAAATGGAAAAAAAAGCGGTTTGGACGGCTGGAGACCCCGTAGGAGCCCTGGACTTCCTGGTAACCAGAGCTCTTAAAGAGCTCGCAGGCTGCTGGGCGCACGTGGCAGGAGTGTGCCGCAGACCCTGCAGCCTGAGCTCTGCCACGTGCCCCTGTGCTGCCCAGCCACCCATCTCACCGCGCCATGGCAGCTCCAGCTGGTGAGCCCCCTGCACCCTCAGCGGAGGATCTGTGGCAGGAGGAGGAGGGTCTCCATGACATCCACTCGAGGCGCCGCAACGTTGACATTTACACGCGGCTGGCCAAGAATCTGGCCCAGCAGGGACACCCCGCCCGGAACTGCGAGCAGGTCCGGGCTAAGGTTAAAGAACTGCGGCTGGGGTACGTCCAGGCCAGCGAGGGCAGGGGGGAAGGACCAGACACCTGCC